ACATGATGATGACACAAGTGAATCAGATGAAGATGAAGCTCCACGGTATTGGCTACGTATGCCAATAAATGAACAAGCCAGGCCTCATTTAAGGGTTAACTGTGGGACACAAACCCCGCCTGAGCAGATAGAAGTTTGTGTTGAGGAAACAGCTCCTGTTGAGCCTGAATCTGAAAGTGTTACTGAGGAAGAACAAGAGACAAGATGAACAAGTGCCAAGCGCTGGTGAGCCTCAGCCTTACAATGAGCAAGATCTGTGTCAGTCCGATGACCAAGAAAGAGATGTCCAAGAGACTCAGCCTGCACTAAGAAGATCTACCAGAGACCGACGCCCTGGCCAGATGTTCACATACACATCCCTAGGTCAACCGACCTACCAGCCATGTGTCATGATAAATACCATAGGGACACAGCCCACAGTCTACACTCACCAGTATCCACAGCCATAGTTTCACTCATTTCAACACACACCCATCATTCCTCCCACATACCTACCATACACATATCCTATTTACTGTTATTGAATGGTTAATAGACACTCACACATGAGTGCCTAAGGTTCTAGTATTCAGATTTTGGGGTATCCCACAAGGTTAAATGTTTTGTATGTTATTGAGAGTTTAAATGACCAAGGGAGTCTAACTGTTTAAATAGGTAGTGTCAGGAGCCACTTTTGTTTGTGGGGGAGTGTGTGGTACACCCCAAAAATGGTACAATTATTTGTGTATTTACTTTTATTTATTTTTGCTAAACAGTGAATTTATTGTTTTGAAAAGCCCAACATTATCTGTATTTATTTTTGGTGACATTCATATCATTTTATGGTTTATCTGTACTGTTTGAGAAACAGTAAGAGTAAGTAGCGCCAAGGTGAGCGGTGACATCTGGGTTATCTTAGGGGGGACACTTCCGCCCCTTCCTCAGAAGCAATCCAGACGATCAACCGGATCCTTATAATTCTTGCTGCTGCACTTTTCTGTTTTCTACAGGTCAGTACATGATGAAAATGATCGATGTTAACTTGTGTAAATTAGATATAATGTTAGAGATGTTTAAGAGAGTGTGTCAGAAAGTTTTGAGCATGTTTGACATAGAAACGGTATTTTAAAAATACTAAACTGTCGGCAACTATAGATGCCATTTTCGCGGTTAGTTTCCAAATCGATCAGTAAGCAATTTGAATTTTTAGCCATAAATATAGAAGTGGCAAAGGGTCAACAGGTCATGGTAGTGAGTTGTTACAGACCCCCCTCCTTGTCTTCACTAGCAAATATTTTATCACAACTAGACTACAAGGAAATAGTGCTACTTGGAGATTTTAACTGGGACTGGTTAACTGCAGTGTCAGAGGATTTAAGAAACCTTTGTATCTCTTTAAATGTTACTCAGATTGTGGACAGTCCTACTCGCCCAAATATGAAGTCCCCTAATAAATCCTCCCTAATTGATCTCATTTTAACTAACGTTCCCCATAAATATTCATCTGTGGGAGTATTTGCAAATGATCTGAGTGATCACTGTGTTGGAGCCACAATTAGGGACACTAAGGTCCAAAAGGTTAAACCTCGCATTATCATTAAGAGAGACAAAAAACATTTTGTGGAGCAGGGTTTTGTTCATGATCTGTTTGATTTTGATTGGGGTCAAATCGATCTGTGTGCTGATGTAGAAACCGCATGGTCTTATTGTTATCTTGGTTTTATGGAGATCATTGATAGACATGCACCCCTGCGTAAATTCAGAGTAAAGGGACGAGACAATCCTTGGTTTTCTGCTGAACTGTCCAGTCTCCTTCATGAGAGAAACAAGGCCTGGGCAAAGGCTAGGAAATCAGGCTCAGAGGTAGAATGGCTGCGTTTTAGGCAGCTAAGGAATAGCTTCACATCGCAAATCAAAAGTGCTAAATCAAAGTACTATCTGTCAGTAACCACAAAGAATCTGAATAATCCTGGAAAATGTTGGAAAGCCATTAAATCGTTATCCACCGGCGATATCCGTAATGAGCTACCTCCGTGCATTACCACAGCATCTGGCTCTATATCGGACAGGGCTACTATGCTAAATTGCTTTAATGAGCATTTTGTGTCCTGTGGTTCTCTATTTGATTCTGTCACTAACTCTGCTTCTGTAAACACTACAGTATGTGACTCTGAAAAACGTGTGTTGGAAAACCCTTTTAGTTTTACCCCTTTTACTGTTGATGTTGTTCGTGAAGTTTTAACCAAGTTAGATCCTAAGAAACCGGCTGGCCCGGAGAACGTAGAACCTTTCTTTTTAAAGATAGCTGCTGATTTTATTGCTCCACCTCTCACTACTCTTTTTAACCTCTCCCTCAGCACTAACACAATTCCAAAATTGTGGAAGTCAGCATATGTCCTGCCTTTGCTAAAAGGAGGGGAGGCCACCTTATTAAATAACTATAGGCCAATCTCTAAGTTGTCAGTTCTGGCTAAGGTTCTTGAACGCTTAGTGAGTGAGCAGGTAAAGGTGTGTTTATGTACAAATGACATCCTGTCTAAACATCAGTCAGGCTTCAGAAAGCAACACAGCACCATCACTGCCACAATGAAAGTGGTGAATGATGTGGCGAGTATTTTAGATAATAAGCAGAGTTGTGCAGCTCTATTTATTGACCTATCCAAAGCTTTTGACACCGTCGATCATCGCATCTTAAAGCAGAGGCTGGTCAGTATTGGCATATCCAGCCATGCAGTGGGGTGGTTTGTGAACTACCTCTCTGAAAGGTCCCAATGTGTTCATTTTGATGGGCTGTCTTCTGAGTGGTTGAACATTGCAAATGGTGTTCCCCAAGGTTCTGTTTTAGGTCCACTTTTATTCTCCATCTACATCAACAGTTTAGGTGAAAATGTGGATGGAGCTACTTTACATTTGTATGCGGATGATACCGTGATGTACTGTGCAGGTCCCTCCATTAAGGAGGCTGGTGTTAAATTACAGGCTGTTTTTAATATTATTCAGGCTCAGCTCTCTGAACTAAAGCTTCTTTTAAATGTTGAGAAAACCAAGGTAATGCTCTTTTCTAAAGCTAAAAAGACACCAGAGCCTGTTTTAGATATTGTAACTACGCAAGGAATAAAACTTGAAGTGGTTACCTGTTACAAATACCTTGGTATCTGGCTTGATGATTGTCTCACTTTTAAACTTCATGTCAATAACCTGCTTAAAAAGCTGAGGGTTAGGCTAGGTTTCTTCTACAGGAACAAGTCCTGTTTCTCGCTTGAGGCCAGGAACAGGCTAGTCACTGTGACCTTTTTACCTGTGCTGGACTATGGTGATTTGATGTATATGAATGCACCTGCCAATTGCCTGGTCAAGTTAGATGCTGCGTATCACAGTGCACTAAGATTTGTGACAAACTGTAAAGCATTAACCCATCACTGTACCCTGTATGCAAGGGCTGGTTTGCTTTCACTAACTGTACGGAGGCTCAGTCACTGGTACATTTTTATATACAAAGCCATGTTAGGGAAACTTCCATCTTATATCTGCTCCATGATCTCACGGAAAATTGTAAGTGGCTACTGCCTGAGATCGAATGCTGTGGTTTTATTAAATGTGCCAACTGCTAGGACTGTCTTAGTGAAGACAGCTTTTAGATGCGCAGCTCCTCTGTCTTGGAATAGTCTGCAAATTAAATGGAAACTGAACAATCTGGTGCCACTAAATGTTTTTAAAGCTCGGTTGGATGCTAGTCAATCGGAAGCTATTGGTACCTGTTTATGTGGATAATTATGTAAATGATGCTGTATGATGTCCTTTTGTTGTTCTATTTATGTTTTTATGTTTCATGTGGAACTACTTGAGCAGGTCTCCCTTGGAAAAGAGATCAATGATCTCAATGGGATTTATCTGTATAAATAAAGGTTTGAAATGAAATGAAAAGGCTCACAGGCAGGTTAGCTGCTGCGCACGGATAATATGTGTTGTTCACCCGAGTGAAGTCTTGCAGGCACATCACCTTGTTTTTTTGTTTATTAACACTGACAGTGTATTTATGTGAGCTCCATAATATGTTATATTTGGTAAAGATAGATGTTAGATAGCTTGATAGAAAGTATTATTTGATAGCGTTATGTGTTTATATTGACTATGTTGAATTTCTCCTTGAGATACAGTAATTGACTGACAGACGGATAACTTAAATGGAGAAATGTGATATGTTTGTAAAGTACAGCTATTTGAATGTAAATTCTTGCTGCTGCACTTTTCTGTTTTCTACAGATATCATTTATTGTTGCTGTGGTACCCAAGCTTTTGGGACCCGTAACACATAAATAGAAAGAAAGAAGGCTATAGGTAACATAAGAATAAACAAGTTTAAATGATTTGTTATTGGTTGTGATCATATTCTAAAGATGTTTGGATTATTGAAAAGTATACAGCTCCCTTTCATCTGAGTGTTGAGAGCTGTATCCATACATTCATTTTGTGCTCAAAGTGCACCAGATTGATGCATTTCACTTCAACATTTAAAAATAAATCTTCCCGGGGGTGTATGCCCCCGGACCCCCCAAGAGGATGTGAGGTCCACCCCCAAATAAAGCAGGTTAAAATAATTAAATTGCATACATTTTCTTTTAGTAAACACTGAAAACGGGTCCCACAAACCCAAACAGCACACAAAGGTTAAAGGTCAGCATATAATGTTAAAATGTGCTAAATATATACACTGCAAAAAAAACAGGAGTAAAATTAGCCCCCGACTTGTTTTTGTGAAAGTAGCTCTCATCCTCAAAAAGGTTGGTGACCCCTGCACTATATGCTCTGACATTTTAATCCTGCTAGTAATCCACAGTTTTAGAAATGTATCAGTAATCTGATTTCATCTTTTTTAATTTAACTAAGGAAATAAAGTTACCTTTTTTTGTTATCCTGATTACCTTATCCCGTTACATGAAATCCATTTTGTCCCCAAGCCTGGCTGTCAGTTAGTAAAGCCCTCTACGCAAATATCTGATTAGTGATGTGTCTCTCCTCAGGTCACCATAGATGTTTCCAGTGTGGGCTTCATCCCTCTGTATGGATCCAGTGATAAGCAGCGTATACTGGCTCTCTTCTCTCCCTCTGACCCCCTCACTGCTGTGGCTCTGTTCCTGCTGGACAGGTGGTGGACAGTGGACGGCCTCCTGCAGACAGCAGACCCTGAACGAGATGGAGCTATGGAGGTATGACCACATGTTTCTCCTGTTAGGAAGTATCACTCTCTCTATTCATATCCATTCAATCTGATCAGAGAGATCTGCTGCACAATCAATAATCATTCTCCCACATGTTCAGTGTGTGGGCGAACCTCCGCAATGCGAGGCTGACTCCTGGTGCATCCACTGCACTTTGTAAGCTCTGTGGCAACAAAGTGGTGCATGAATGAGTCCTGAAACTAGGAAATTAGTTAGCATTTTACAACTTTCAGTTACCTCGTTTAGTTTAGTTGAAGCCTTAAGAAGCCAGATTTCTAGGCTTGTTCTAAAACTGGTGAATGTCCAAAGTTTCTATGTTGTAGAAAACAAAATGACTGAGACTACTAAACGTTATCACACCGAACACAAGTTCACTTTAAGCTTCCGTTTGCTTTTTACGTCTGGCGATTCCATTTACGCTTTAAATAAGCTAAAAGAGATGTTAATATGTGGAGAGTACCTTGCTGAACGTGTGAGTCATTATTAACATGTTCTATTTTCTGCTATGTTCCGGAATCAAATTAAAAAGTCCTGGTGCTTTTTGTCTAAGGGAGCCCTTGTGATGCTACATTTTGTAGCAGGTTTATTTATGTGTCACTTTAACCTAATGTCACATTACTTATGGAAGAGGATGCTGTACTTTGCAAGGGAGAGAGCAACTTCATAATTGCTCTCAAGAATCCTCTGTTTCTCCAGGGACTTGCCTCAGTTAACTCTCTCCATCTACATGTTTGCATCCAGCCCTATGTTAATCTATCCTGTTGTGTTACTGTTTTCTTTTTTGTCCCCCCCCCATCCTATTCAAAATCTCTCCTTGGGTTTCCTGAAAGGCGCTATATAAATCCAAGCTTTATTTTTATTATTATTATCAATATCAAAAACAAAATCTTAAAAGTGCACTTTAAAGCTGTGTTCAGAGAATTTAAGTGATGATGTGCAACACAAATATATTTTAATAATGCATCGTGTCTCAGTTAACCAACTCTGTGCCCTTAATAAAACATGGCGACATCACTATGTAACACTTGCGCTTCTATTGGCTAGCGCTCTAACACATTGTACCTGATAGGCTAAGGGGCGGGACACCTCTAATCGGTTGACCAATCACAACAGAGGCGGCCAGCTAACCAATCAGAGCAGACTGGGCTCTGGTTTCAGACAGAGGGTGAAAAGAGGTGCTGCAGCACAGGCAGTATGAGAAAAATAAAGAGCTTCTTGAACATTAAAGCAAGGAGACATGTCACAGTGGAGAGACGACATACTGATATACACCTGAACATCAGCAGGAGAGGACTCTTTAAAGTAGAGACACTACATACTGATATACACCTGAACATCAGCAGGAGAGGACTCTTTAAAGTAGAGACACTACATACTGATATACACCTGAACATCAGCAGGAGAGGACTCTTTAAAGTAGAGACACTACATACTGATATACACCTGAACATCAGCAGGAGAGGACTCTTTAAAGTAGAGACACTACATACTGATATACACCTGAACATCAGCAGGAGAGGACTCTTTAAAGTAGAGACACTACATACTGATATACACCTGAACATCAGCAGGAGAGGACTCTTTAAAGTAGAGACACTACATACTGATATACACCTGAACATCAGCAGGAGAGGACTCTTTAAAGTAGAGACACTACATACTGATATACACCTGAACATCAGCAGGAGAGGACTCTTTAAAGTAGAGACACTACATACTGATATACACCTGAACATCAGCAGGAGAGGACTCTTTAAAGTAGAGACACTACATACTGATATACACCTGAACATCAGCAGGAGAGGACTCTTTAAAGTAGAGACACTACATACTGATATCTCTCTAGGTCAGGGGTGGGGAACCTTTTTCCTCTCAAGGGCCATTTCAATTTTTTCAACATCCTCCGAGGGCCGTTCAAATTATTGACCTCTGCTTAAAAATGCTAAAATGCATTCATTTGGCCTTTCTTTCATGCTGTGCAAAGAAAAAGCAACCTCTTAATCCAGATATTTTACCATGACTCACACAAGATGTGTGCAAATGTATTTAGTTTCCTATCCATGTGAACATGATTTCAGTTGGGGGGGACCTAACCTCCTCTAGGGGGGTCCGGGGGGGCATGCTCCCCCGGGAAGATTTTTTTTGTTTAAATGTTGAAGTTAAAAGCATCAATCTGGTGCACTTTGAGAGCAACATTAGGAGATCTATGGATACATCTCTCAACACCCAGATGAAACAGAACTGTAAGCAGATTTATTTTTCTTTATGGATATTTTACAAATCACTCCCCTTTCAAACTGTATTCTTGTTTATTAATAACAACTTTTTGTTACTGTCAAATAGTATTTTATACCTGTTTACTTTATTCTCTTATTTTTTTATAACTATAATGATCATATAAAGATGTGCCTTTACCTCACTGGTAGTAGAAAAAGCTTCTTATATTCGTTAGCATAGCTAGCTAACCAGATGCTAATAACAACAAAGCAATTGACTGTATGATCAGTATGACAGGTGAACAGATCGCCACTGGGCTTTCAACTAAAGACACAGCCACGCAGAAACTGCGGCATGTGTACGGCTCCTTATGGGTACTGCAATATTTGAAATCCGGCCCGGAGCCGTTCTGGTGCTCTCTGTCAGATTTGCACCCCTGTCAGACGAGACATATACCACGTGATGACACGTTAGGCTCGTGTTGTGTTCAAGGACCCTGACCTTGGCCAGGAAAAACAGGCACTCGCTTGTTTAATTTTTTTGCGGTCTAGATTTCTTACAATTTTTTCTTTTTTGCGTGTGTTTATAAATTACCTCGAGGGCCGTACCAAATGGTCTCGCGGGCCGTATACGGCCCGGGGACCGGAGGTTCCCCACCCCTGCTCTAGGTCATCCTCAGACGAGCCCTCCATCGTTGCTTCCAGTCATCCGGTTCTCCATACATCTGGCCAGTTCATTGGTACTTTGTGCTCCTGCGTCGTTCTTGAGTACGTCCACGTATGTTTGTGCGGGACGTCCTCGTGACCGATGCCCGTGTGTTGGTTCCCACAGCACCAATTTGCCGGCTGGCAGCTCTTGATGCCTTTGGCAATGTCCTGCTAGTCTCATTCTCCTGGCTGCAATTTTCTCGCTGACCCTTGGTATTCCCTCGTACAGGATCTTGTTGGTTACATGTACACTCTTGCTGATGTTAAGTACTGCTCACAACATTCTGGTGTAGCATCCGTCAAGAGACTTTTGCAGGGTTGGCTTCAGGGTCCAGCATTCACTGCCATAGAGGAGAACAGACTCTACCGTTGCATAGAAGAAGCTGAGTTTGATTTGACGGGGGAGGTTGGAGTTCCATACACTGGTCATGCCGTTCAGGGCCCTCCATGCAAGTGCCTTCCTCACCTTAAGATCTTGCTCGGTTGAGTTGACCCATGAGCCCAGGTACTTGAAGTCCTTGACTTCTTTAAGCACAGTGCCTTCTGTTGTTGTCAGAGGTGGATGTTCTGGTAAGATGTTATAGGTGATAACCTCAGTTTTCTTGGCGTTTAGCCTAACGCCAACCTTGGCACACTCTGACTCCACTCTGTTCAGGAGTTCCTGTGCTTGCTCCACGCTGTCGGAGAGCAGGCTGATGTCGTCTGCATAGTCCAGGTCTGTCAGGACTACTGTGGGGTGTCGTCTCAACCTCCTTGGTGTTAGAGTGAAGCCAAGATCCTGCTCTCGTCCACTGATGGCCTTCCTGAGCGCATAATCCAAGACCATGATGAAGAGGAAGGGGGCCAGGGTGTCCCCTTGCATTACCCCAGCCAGGATGTCAAACTCCTCGCTGTTGCCGTCTGGGGTCACCACCCTGGCCCTTATATATACACCTGAACATCATCAGGAGATGACTCTTTAAAGTAGAGACACTACATACTGATATACACCTGAACATCAGCAGGAGAGGACTCTTTAAAGTAGAGACACTACATACTGATATACACCTGAACATCAGCAGGAGAGGACTCTTTAAAGTAGAGACACTACATACTGATATACACCTGAGCATCAGCAGGAGAGGACTCTTTAAAGTAGAGACACTACATACTGATATACACCTGAACATGAAAATGAGCAGAATATGACCCTCTTTATATAATGTCAGGTGTGGGGAGGGTGAAGAGATGAACAAGAGTTGGCTATTATTTAAAAAACGTGTTTATGAACACTTTCAATGAAAGATAACATGAACTAAATCTATCCTTATACTCAGGATGAGCATTGCCTCCAGCATGCCTGTTTTTCTCACAGAGGGTACTCCTGTTTTTCACTGCTTACTAATTCAAATATATTATTTTAATTGTGATCCAGCAACAAAATATGCTCCATATGTGTGTCCCTCAGGTGGAGACGGTAGGAGAGAGGATAGTCTTATACATCCTCAATCGTGTCGTGTATAGAGCCCAGGAGATGAGCTCGGAAGAGCTCCCCTTCCTCTGCCACGGAGAGAAAGATCATGCAAAGATCCTCTGGAGTCATGGAGAGGCTGTCGGCTTCTACTCAGTCAAACCCCAAGGTACTGTGTGCCATGATAATGCATCTACACAGATATACTCCAAATCCGCCTTTAGCTAGCATCTGTGGACAATCTTTCTCAGGGTTTTAGAGCTACAGTTCATGTGCTCTCCATTAAAAACATGTATTTTTCCGTCAATTTTCCGACAATAAACAAGTAAACAACACAATAACAAGCAACACCAGCACAGTACAATACAACAACATTGTTGCAAGAAAGATACTTTTTTTGTATTATGGACACAGACCGTAAGTTCACAAATATTTAAGGTTAATAGAACAGGTGTTTCCAATAGTAGTTCAAACATTGAGACCATTTACAGTGTGTAAGTCTTAATAAAAATGTGTCTCCATCTCATGAATTTCTTTACTGATTTCGATCCAATGGTCTAATGTAGGAGGATCGGCTTGTAACCAAATGGGAGTAATCTTTTTTTCTTTACGGCTAAAGTGAATATTTTCAGAAGGTATCTATCCCTCTCTGTTATTATTTCTGGTAGGTCACCCACATAAAGGACAACACATGAGAAAGCCCATAATGTGCTGCTTGGTTCTCCAAATATCAATCCAGATTAGGTGTATCTTTGTCCAATTGAGTAGCTTTTTAAGAACAATCCGCGTTTTCATTTACGGCCATCAAGAAATGGAATATGCTTCCAGCTGAGCGTAAAACCTGCACAGACTTTTGAGTTGAGCAACCAGTCTTACCAACATTACCGTTGTTTGTATTTGGAATTCATCGTTATATTTATGGATGTTTTGAGAAATGCACTTAAAAAACTGAAATTTTGACTTTAATCAAATGTTAGTCGAAAGCAATAATATTACGTTTAAATAAAAAATATAACTTACTTAATATTATTGCTAATACAGTTATGTGAAATCCGTTGACATAATACATTTTATTAAAGTCAACGTTTCAGTTTTTTCAGTGTATACTATTATCTGTTTAATAGTCAAGAGCCTATGTAATGTTTGAAGTGTTTTTTGATTGTTTTGTCTGTACCTACCCATGGACTACAGATGCATTTGATCTAATAACTAATACTGGCATACATCTTCTCTTTTTGTGGCTTCATGCATGGTTCTTGTTTAATAAAGATATAATAATAACAATGTATGCTTTTTGTTTCCCGTGTAGGTACCCTTTGTAGTTCCTATTCAACCAGAAGCTATCAGCTGACTGTCATGGACTCCATATTTGTTAGAAAAAGTCAGCGTGGGAATGGCTTCGGCCTCCAGATGCTGGAGGACTTCGTGCTCAGTTCCAAAGAGGACTGTCTGGGTCTGAGGTACCCGCTCACAAAACCCATGTATAAAGGTAAATGATGCACATTATGGATATGGACGATGTGACTCACAGACAGCGGTGTTTGTGCTGGTATTTCATACAAGTACAAACCCTTAACTACAATGCTCTTTGTTTGTAGTGTGTCAGAAGTACCTGTGCCAGTACCCAGAAGACACACATCTGCTGTGGGAGGTGGAGAGCATCGGGGCCCCCAACCAGAGGACCAACATCTCGAGCAGGATCCAGGCCATGGATCAAATCGGTAAGAAAGACCTTAAATCAGTATTTTTCAAACAATTCTATCATCCTGAAATAGAGTGGTGAAGTAATGAATCCTAAAACCCGGAAAATACTTTTACCACTTCTGGTTCCCTCGTCTCTTAGTCAGCTGTTTCTTTGAATGTGTTTGTGGTTAGAAGCCTGTAATAAGGTCTGTGGTTAACTAGGGCTGCTCAATTAATCGTATTTTAATCGCAATTACGATTTTGGCTTGCAACGATTATGAAAACAACATAATCTAAATAAAACGATTATTTATTTTATTTTTATTTTTAAATAAAAAAATGTATTGGTTTTTCAGTTGAATTATACTTAAAGTTCAGGGTAATCAACTGTTAAAAACATACTGTTCACATTTTTTTTTTCAATAAATGGATGTTTTCAAAGTAAATGGATCATCGTTTCTTATAATCGTGATATCAATTATTGACCCAAATAATCGAGATTATGATTTTTGCCATAATCGAGCAGCCCTATGGTTAACACAAGCTTATGAGATATTCAAGTTTTGTCATAAAACGCATCAGTAAAATACTCCACTGGTGAATGTCTGAAGCTTCTGTTTAAAAAAAAAAAACTTGCTATAGTTGACAAAAAAACTACTGAACATCTTCACGCCGACTCAAATCTGCCTTTAGCTTAGCGGTGGTGATACTGTGATGTCGTTTGTTTATAGCATTACGTTTTTTTTCTTTTTTCTGCCAATTGCATTTACGCTTCACATAGTGGTGTTAATATGTGGAGATTCTCCTGCTGCCACAGAGCCTATTTTCTTAACAATCCCATGGGGAAATCCCATTGCTTTTTGTTAAGGGATACCTTGTGATGCCTAAAAAAATAAATGGTATAGTCAAATGATTTATTTGAAATCTGCAAAGAAAATTATTTCAGCTTTTGAATGATTGTCTAAGGCTTGACACACTGCCTGTCTACCTGTGTTTCTCAGCAGTATCCAAGAGTCTGACGTTCACAGAGGAATCCCTGGTGATCACTGAAATGACTGAAAAGGATGTGGTGATGGAGGCAATAAGCACTCAAATAAAAGAAGCTGAATCTATGGAATGCACAGTTGAAATTGTGGTACATAATTATTTTTTTATTACAAATTGAAACAAATGTTTTTGAGAAACAAAATAATTAAAGTAAAAATAATCGCTGTGATTTCAATTTGTAGGAGGAAGTGACCGTACTGAGCGCTACCAAAGGTGAGAACGCTAGCATTTTAAATCTATGTTAACAAAATTGTCCTCAGATTGTATATTAAAGGTTCTCAGGCCTTCTGAGCATTAATATAGCAGTAGACCACTATTTGTTATAGACACATACTTTTATTAGTCTCTGCACAGCGCTCATATCCGCTACCAATGATCAGGTTCCCACTCGTGCTGTTAGCATTGCTAGCTCCATTAGCTGCTAGCCACCCGCCATTTGGAGGCAATCCCTTAAAGTAACAGTAGATAGCCTTTAATGCAGGGGTGGGGAACCTCCGGCCCCCGGGCCGTATATGGCCCGCGAGACCATTTGGTGTGGCCCTCGAGGTAATTTATAAAACACACGCAAAAAATTAAAGAAATCTAGACCGCAAAATAATTAAACAAGTGAGTGCCTGTTTTTCCTGGCCAAGGTCAGGGTCCTTGAACACAACACAAGCCTAACGTGTCATCACCATGTTCACCTGGTATATGTGTCGTCTGATAGGGATGTAGTTCGGGGAGCACCAGAACGCAGCTCCGCTCCTGCACTTCCAAAAATGGCAGTACCCATAAGGAGCCGTACACATGCTGCAGTTTCTGCGTGGCTGTGTCTTTAGTTGAAAGCCCAGTGGCGATCTGTTCACCTGTCATACTGATCATACAGTCAATTGCTTTGTTGTTATTAGCATCTGGTTAGCTAGCTATGCTAACGAATATAAGAAGCTTTTTCTCCAACCAGTGAGGTAAAGGCACATCTTTATATGATCATTATAGTTATAAAAAAATAAGAGAATAAAGTAAAAAGGTATAAAATACTATTTGACAGTAACAAAAAGTTGTTATTAATAAACAAGAATACAGTTTGAAAGGAGAGTGATTTGTAAAATATCCATAAAGAAAAAGAAAATCTGCTTACAGTTCTGTCTCATCTGGGTGTTGAGAGATGTATCCATAGATCTCTTAATGTTGCTCTCAAAGTGCACCAGATTGATGCTTTTAACTTCAACATTTAAAAACAAATCTTCCCGGGGGAGCATGCCCACGGACCCCCCTAGAGGAGGTTAGGTCCCCCCCCACTTAAATCATGTTCACATGGATAGGAAACTAAATACATTTGCACACATCTTGTGTCCATCTCTTTCTGTTTTGGTGGTCATGCCACAACCGTGCACGTGCATGCATGCGCGAGTCATGGTGAGATATCTGGATTAAGAGGTTGCTTTTTCTTTGCACAGCATGAAAGAAAGGCGAAATTAATGGGCTGTGATTTTAGTATTTTTAAGCAGAGGTCAATAATTTGTACGGCCCTCGGAGGATGTTGAAAACATTGAAATGGCCCTTGAGAGGAAAAAGGTTCCCCACCCCTGCTTTAATGCATGCATTTTTCAACACATTAAGGAAGATTGTACCAATTGTTTCAGTTTCTGAGGCGGAGGTGCCCCCTACATCCCGGGGAAGAAGCAGTGGCTCAAAACGAAGGAAGATGGCTGAAACGATTGCAGAGGACAAGTCCGAAAAAATAATCAGGTGTGTGTGAAATAAACCAGGATACTCCTGGAAAAGGCATGAATGCAAATAAGGGAATTGGGAAATTCAATTTAAATGCTTGTAATATGACGTCTCCATTTAAAATGGCTGTAAATCGAATGAATCTCATCAGAACGTACAACTCAGAGGAAGGCAAGAAAAAAAGGTCAACAAGAAATCCTTTATTCCATCAGCTGTGACCCTCCTTTTTAAAACACCCACTAAGTCACTTTAAGATGACATTTATTTTGTGTAATGTGTGTGAACTGTGTTTTGTGCTGTGTATGGTGAGCAGAGGTCGCATTAACCGAATATTTTCCGTCTGACGGATTTCTTTTAACAATGACGGAAAAATCTGTGCGCGCTCCCGCGTGGTGCAGTGGGCATGCAAAACACGGCGGTCAGAGTTGTGTAAAGGCCGAAAGTCTAGCGCAACCTCTGATGGTGAGTGTTATGAATAAAGTTCATTATCTGTCATGACAGCTTTGTGGCAAGTTATCTTGTCAGAGCCACATTTGGAGTGGTTATAACACTAGGCTTGTTTTTTGTACCATGTTATGCTTGAAATGAACAAGTGCTATCTAACATCTTTTAGAATTGAGGATATCGAAGCAGAAACCCCCAGAGAGGAGCACGTTGCTGAATCTCTCCAGACTGAGGTGTGTATATGCAAACTCTCATCTGCCTACATGACCAGTACAGAAACTCGTTCATGGTTTAATTTACTATGTTTATTTTTTAGGATGTGATCAGTGTTGTCCCTGAAGAACAAGGACAGGATGTAGTTGATACAGAAGCAACTATATTGGGCCGACCAGACGGAGGCGATGCTCCCCAGGATCTGAATACCTGCTCTCATGACTCTCAGATAGCTGTTGAGAATGTGGCATCGGGAATCGAGGAAGATACTGCAGTGCTGCCGCTCTGTGGAGACATTTCATTGGTACCCAAGGAAGCAGAAACTCTGCACAGCGTGGAACAGGCAGCAATAGTTGAACAGCAAGTGGTCAGTTTATCAACACATGCAGCGGCAGAGAACGGTGAAGCTGAAGAAACAAGAGGAGCCGTTGTAAAGGCCAAAAAAGCTGCGCAGAGTAAAACCCCCAGACGCAAATCTACCCGTCACAGCAAGCAGGAGGAGCAGGAGGAGGAGGAGCAGGAGGAGGAGGAGCAGGAGGAGGAGGAGCAGCAGGAGGAGGAGGAGGAGGAGGGACCTGCAGCCCAGGATGGACGGATCTCTCTGAGAGGAAGAACTGTAGTGAGCACACCCAGAACCACACGGAAATACACACGACGCATCCAGAGAGTAAGGGAGGAGGTCGATGGAGTTTCTACACCTGCAGCTGTCACTGAGGGAGAAGCACAAGAGGAGAAGACCTCCGTAAAAGAGGATGTGGTTGCAGTGGAAGAACTGGCCGAAGACAAGCTGGAAGAAAATGAAGAGGAGACAGAGAAACAGCAGGAGGAGCAGGAGGAGGAGGGACCTGCAGCCCAGGATGGACGGATCTCTCTGAGAGGAAGAACTGTAGTGAGCACACCCAGAACCACACGGAAATACACACGACGCATCCAGAGAGTAAGGGAGGAGGTCGATGGAGTTTCTACACCTGCAGCTGTCACTGAGGGAGAAGCACAGGAGGAGAAGACCTCCGTAAAAGAGGATGTGGTTGCAGTGGAAGAACTGGCCGAAGACAAGCTGGAAGAAAATGAAGAGGAGACAGAGAAACAGCAGGAAGAACTGGAGCTTACGGCAGAGACCGCAGCAACACAGGATCACGAGGAGGAAAAGGTTACGGATGAACGTGAGAAAAAACAAACGGGTGATGAGGCGACACAAAATAAACCAGATGTCTCCGAGGAGGAGGCAGAGGAGCCTCCTGTTGTACAGAAGAGAGATCTGAGAGGCAGATATAAAGTCGTTACCAAACAAAGCAAATATCTTAAAAAGCAAGAGGAGGAGCACCTCGATGAAGGGGAACAGAAAGCAGAGGAACAAGCAGCAGGTGCACCTATGGAGGAACACCAGCAGGTAGAAGAGGAAGCAGACAAAACAGAAGGAGAGATATCAACCGAGGAAAAGACTGTAGAGGAAACTGTTCCAAAGGCAGAGGAAGTTGCTCCTTCTACTGAGGTGAAGGTGGAGGAGGGCAAGGAGGTGCAGGTGGAGGAAGAGACTACAGAACCTGAGCAAGAGGCAGTCTGTGACACTGCTGTGGCAGAGGACGTGACACAAGAGCCTGACACAGCTGCTGCTGCTGCTGCTGCTGCTTCAGAGACAGTCACACCTGAGGAGGTTCCTAGAGAGACTGGAGAGCCTCAGGAGAAGGACATCAGCTCTGAAATCCCCAAGCTCCAGAAAGCCATTGTGATCTTGGTGGACATAAAAACAACGAGCCATCATCTTAGTGCGAAGGAGGCCGATGAAGCAGTGGATGGAGAGACTGCTGCTCCAGAAGAGCAACACGAAGAGGAGGGTGGAGGGAAGCAGGAACACATTTCAGAGGGATCTGCAGAGACTGACGAGAAGCAAGAGCTGGAAGACAATTCTGAGAAAGCAGAAGAAAAACAATCTGCCATTGTGGCAGAGAAAGAAATGGTTATTGAAACAAGAGAAGAAAAGTCAGCAGAGGAAAGTGAAGGCCAGCAGCAGCAGGACGACACCATGGGTGAGGGTAGTGGTGAACAGAAGGTGGAGGAAGCAGACCCTGCTGAGGAGGAGCAGCGTGAGGCAAAGGAAGCAGTCACAGCTCCAGTGGAGTCTGCAGATACAGACATCTGTGCAGAGAGAGAGGAAGACGTCCCAGACCACGCTGAAGAGAGTCTTCCACCAGCGGAGGAAGGAGATGAGCCAAGGAGCCTGGAAGAGGAAGAAACACCAGTTGTAGTGACCAGAGCTCTGAGAAACAGAACCAAAACAAGCGCAGCTACACCAAGACGCACAACAAGAAGCAGGAAGGAAGTGGATGCAGAAAACAGTGAAGAAGAGGAAGAACCGGCAGTGACCACACTGAGACGTGGGAGGAAAGCCATCTCTGACACGCCCAAGGGCAAGTCTAGAAGAAGCCGTAAACGCGTCCAAGAAGAAGAGGAAAGTGTGGAGGAAGCAGAGGCAGCAAAGGAAGAGGCTGAGGAAGAGATTAAACACGAAGCTCCCTCTGAAAGAGAGGAACGTTTGGAGCCAAAGGAAGGTGTCGAGAAGGCAGCTGCAGAAAAGAGTACTGATGGAGATAATGAAGAAGAAGCAGGGCTGGGATCAACAGAGGAGCCACCCACAGAAGAGGACAAGGAGGAAGCCCCAGAAGCTGATGCTGAGGATCCTTTGGTACAAGAAGGAGAGCCTGACCTTGCTGCTGACTCAGCTGTACTCGCAGCTACTGAACAAGAGGCAACACCTTCAGTGGAGGAGCAACCTAGTGAGGAAACTGCCCCCCAGCTTCCTGATCTCCAAGAGACACTGCTGAATGACACCCAGGAACAAACACCAGCAACGGCTCAGGAGAATGCTCCTGAGCCGGAGGTGGTGAAGGTGGAAGAGGAGAAAGGAGAAGCAGTGACAGCACAAGCTACAGAAGAGGGTGAACGTTCTAATGAAGTGGAGCAGGAAGCTACAGTCATCGAAAGCAGAACAAGGAGAAGTGGTAGGAAGCAAGCGGCCGAAGCCACGCCAAGAACCCAAGCAGCGAGAAGCAGACAGAAAAAGGGGGATGGAGAAAAGGAGGCAGCTTCTGAAATCCAGGAGAAGGAACCGGCTGTTGAAGTCAGGGTTCTGAGGAGAGGAAGGAAGAAGAGTATCCCTTTTGCACAGACAAGCACACAAAGCCCCAAGAAACCTGAAGAAGAAAAGGAAGAAGAGGGGGGAGATGTTGTAGAGGAAGAGGGGAAAGGGGCAGAGAAAGAGAAGGAGGTGGGAGAGGTAAAGGGAGAGGAAGAAGAAGAAAAGCAGGAAGAGGTTTCTGCAGCAGGAGATGAAGAGTCAGAGAACACAGAACAGGCGGTTGATGAGGAGCAGGGGGAGGGAGGGGAGGAAAGGGATGAACCTGTCCCAGAGGAAGAGCAGGCAGGCGAGGACACAGAGACTGCAGAAGAAGCTGTCCCAACGCCGGAGACAGTGGAGGAGGAACAGCCAACCTCCACATCTGAAGGAGCAGAGAGTGCCCAGGAGACCGTGGAGACAGCAGAGGATGACAAGGCCAAAGGTGCGTCTGAGGAGGAGGAAGCAGCAGGAGACACACCTACTGCAGAAAAACAAGATGACGAGGAAGAGGAAGCTGGAGGAGAAAGCGCAGAAGAAGAAGAACCACCAGTAGCAACAAGAGCTCTGGCAGGTGGAAGGAAGTCTGCTGCAGCGAGACGTTCCTCCAAGAGAGCCCGCACACAGCGGCAGACAGAGGAAGAAGCTCCTGAAGAGGCAGAAGCAGAGGAAACGGAAGCTGTGCCGCAGGAAGCTGCAGACAGAGAGGTCAGCACAGACGGGACGATCGAGGAAGAAGATGGAGAGGAAGCTGCAGCTCAGGAAGAACTTACAGAGGTGGAGAAGGGAAAAGAAGAACCTGTGGCAGAGCAAGAGACGGTTGGAGAGGAGGAGTGTGCTTCTGTTGAAGAAACAGCTGCAGACAGACTTAATGCTGGACAACAAGATGCAGAGGAAGAGGTAGCTGGAGGAGAAAGCGCACAAGAAGAAGAACCAGTTATAGAAACAAGAGTTCTGAGGAAGGGAAGGAAGTCTGCTGCTGCAGCACATAGCCGTACATCCAGAAGAGCCCAACACCAGAAAGAGGAAGAAGCTCCTGCACCTGAAGACACGGAAGCAGAGGAAGAAGAGGCACCGCAGGAAGAGGAGGGAGCAGCAGTGCCTGGAGAAGACAGTGAGGAGGCTGAGGAAGAGGAGACAAACACAGCTGAGGAAGAGGAGAGCACAGTCATTGAAGGATCTGCTGCAGAGGCTCTAAGTGAAGATGAATCTGGGGAGGAAGAGGACGAAGCAGAAAGAGCTCTCGGGAGCAAAGTGGAAACACCTCCTTCATCCTCTCCAAAATCCAAAAGACAGAAAGACCAAGAAGTAGAGGACTCACCGCGGAGATCCGTACGGAAGAGGCCAAGAGTGGACTACAGTGAGAACGATGAGGAGGGGGAGACCGACCCAGAGGGGAAGGGTCAGAAGGAACCAGAGGAGGGGAGGGAGAAGATCCATCTGGTACTGGATTCAGAAGAAGAGGAAAGTGAAGAGGAAGAGGAGGAGCCTGTAGAGACTGGGAAGAGAGTCCTTAGAGGGAGGTCTGTCCCTTCAGTGGTGATCACCCCCCGGCCTCAAACCACACGCCGCAGTGCTAGAGTTGAGAGGGCAGAGGGGCGTCTGACTCGCTCCGCTCAGAAGAGAGGGAGCAGCGAGGCTACACCGAGTCGCAAGCCCAAGAGAATCAGCAGAATTTAGGAGGATTCACACACACACACACACACACACACACACACACACACACACACACCTGAATACTTTATTTGGTTCCACAAATTATATTACATAAGACAGGGAATCAAATATATTGGGGCTAAGCAGCACAGAACACTCAGGGGAACACATAGCATCTCCTTCTCCACACGGCTAAGCATCAGCCGCAAGTTTTTTTTTTTTCACATTTGAATACACACACGCAGCTACATAACAGGGTAAATGCAGACACATAAAAACACTTTCTCATGCTGTATTGAAGCGTCTGTAGTGTGCAGGCTGACACACTACTGTACGTTTCCATCTTGATTCAAAGCAATGGTGTTATAGAGTAGTGCAGGAATGAGTGCTAAACGTGGAAATGAGTTAGCATTTTAGCAGCTCCGGGTTCCCTCGACTCGAAGACAATGTTTTTGTGTTCAGTTCTTAGTTAGAGGCCTGAAATAAATTCTGTGGTTATTACAAGCTTACAAGATATTCATGATTTGTTCTACGACATAACATACGTCATTAAACACCCCACTGGTGAAAGTCATCGTGTTTTACGTGGCTTAGAAACAAAAGATTTAAAAAGTGACTAAATGAGACTAGGACACACTGTCAGGCTAAAGATTAGCCGCCTTTAGCTTAGCGGTAGTTTGGTTAGAGCATTAACCTGTTGAACCCCATCGACCCGCCCCCCGCAGGAAACAGCGTCTGAGGGCTTCTTAATATTTAATAAACTATGAATGTTTTATATCCATGTAACGGGAAGAAATTCAGCTAACTGATCTTTATTTATTTTTTTTGCACAAAAAAAATCACAAAGCTAACGCTGAGCCTCTGAATTAGCCACGAGCGAAAAAATGCTAACGCCGTTCGCACAGAAACTCACTCATAACACCCTTATTACTTATCGTAACTGCACATCCAACATATCGATTAGCATCGTGAGAATACACAGAATCGATAGGTATGTATATCATCACTCCGTGATACGAACTCGCGACAACATTAACAAAAACAGACATCAAAACACGTGGCGCTAGGTAGCCAAAACGAGAATATGTCTTACCTGTGTCGTAGTCTGGTCAAAAGTTGTCTTCAATGGCATTAAAACGATAACAACGCTGCTGAAGTTAATCCAAAGGTTAATCCAATGTGTCTGTGTCACTTTGAAATGATTTCTGATAATCCATCAGCAATAAACCTAGTTTTCAGATTTCAGAGCGAGAGATAGGTTTCGATTTGGGGAAACTGCATGCGCATAGCCCCCACTTTTTTTTGGTAACGTTGGTGTGTATGTGGAAATTCCCCATCGATTCTATTGGCTATAACGGTTAAAAAGAGATGTCAATCATCAAAATCGACCAATGGGTTCCAGAGAAACGGCAAAAACGCCCATTTCCACCCAAATCACCCCAGAGGTGGAGTTTTTTTTGCTAAACCTCTATAAAAAGGTCAAATGTCACTTGTTTTGCAACAATCTTGATACAGGGTACTTATTATATGTTGTACTTTGGATTCCTAAAGCGTTTAGTCTACCTTACCATCATCCAAGGGTAGTTTTCACTACAAGTAAAACATAATTTTTGGACGGACACTATAATTTACAGTTTTTTACTATGTTCAATCTGAGTTGTCTTTAAAATAAAAAACATCTATATTGATTCTGACTTTTCTACATCCAACAAACAGGTTTATCATTGCTTTGAGAAAAAATATTATTAATTTAACCCTTTTTAGAAGTCTAGTTATGGTCATTTGTTCTGGAAATGTCATTTTCGAGCCTGAGACCTGAAAAACAGGGATGGGGTTTAACAGGTTAAGCCATTTTTCTTCATTTGTGCTTGAACTATTATAAAAGTGATGTAAATATGTCGAGATTATCCTGCTGAACAAAACGTATAAGTATCATAAACGTGTCTTTGCCACAGATCTTATTTTCTGCTATATTCCAAAAACAAATTGAAAAATCCCATGGGAGTTCTTGCGATGCTAACTTTCTCGTCATCACTGCTCCACCCAATTATATTACATGTCCCTTGTTAGACACTTTTATCCAAAGCAACTTACATACATTCAATACTGTGGGGAATCCCCACAGGAGCAAACTGGGGTGAAGTGTCTTGCTCAGGGACACAACGACATGCTACTTGACTGCAGTGGGGATTGAACCAGCGCCCCCTGAGCAACCCACAGCCTCCCTATTAATGACCATCACTTACTGTTACAGTATGGATTAGCATTTAGCATGGTCCTATAAACAGATATAGACATGTCAGGTGCCCCTGAATGTGAACGCTGCATATGGAAGTCTGGTGTTTCTGCAGTTAGCATGGGAACCTAGACCATATTTTGAAATAGAAAAGAAACAGGGGTGTGATCATGGAGAGACTTCATCTGCACACACTTACAAATGATCAAACTCCAATAAACACACATTGGAGTTCTTAAAACAGAACATTCTTACAAGCTGGGGAAATAATATTTTTATATTGTAAAAATGTGAATCTTTGCATTGTGCAACACATCTCTCAATTATTTGTTTTAGTAATTTTGTACTCTCTTTGACCATGCTTCAAGAAAAGGAATTGGTCTTTTTAAAACAGATTTGTACTCTACAAAGGAACCAGCCATGTTGTACAGGTTGTTTGTAATTTGATTAAAAAAATATTACCAAAACATGATCTTGTTTTGCAGCTATCAGCAGAACTCAGGTCTTAATATGAGCTTCTTTTTGTATACATCTCACCTGTAGAGATCCATGTTATTCACCATCAGGACATATCTGTCCTCACTCATGTTGTTTTGAATTATGTGATATTATTTAGTCAGCATTATTCATTGTGTCCATTTAAAATATGCTTTTGTTGTTTGTATCAAGATAATGTGTTTTTTTTAGCCGATTTAGTTGTGCTTATTAGCAGATATTAGGTCATTAACTCCTTATTTACCTGTGTGGACTAAACTGATCTGTGAACTTATTTTTCCATTAGCTGAATAAAGATTGCAAACGGTAGTTATTTTACTGCTGTGTACTTACTTATTGGTTATGAAAAGAGTTCCACCTGATGTCATTGTTCAAACACACACACCATGTATACATCACTTCAGGGGACATTACATTGACTTACATGCATTTCCTGGAGACTTATCCTAACCTTAACCATAACCAACACATGCCTAACCCTTACCAAGTCTTCACCCTAAAATTAATGATTCCCCTTATGGGGACCTCCATTTTGTCCCCATAAGGGAGGCGAGTCCCCACACGTGACTGTGTAAAGTAAACAGATTTAGGTCCCCACAAGTATAGTAATGCTAGGCCACACACACACGAGGGATTTCTGTGTAATGGATGCTTTTTGTACTTGGGCTCTTACAGAATAAATCATATTCTAGTTGTACAGTTATGTATTACTGTTAGTATTTTTGTTTATTCTTATAAACCTTTGTGTGTAATTAGAACTTAAAATGAAGGCTAAATATAAACAGTTCGAATCATAAACCATTAAGCGACGAGATCATTATGATAAGCTGTCGTCAGATAACATACTTGTAGGTCTTTTTCGACGACATGAATAGACATCAGAAAAAGTAACTGAGGAAATTGAAAAGATGGGAGTTGATATAAACAGAAAACGCCACTGCAGGGTGCTGAAGAGGAGCAGGGACATGTTTTCTTCTTGAACTTAGACATGTTTCATTTGTGTCCACTTGATTGTCTCCTCCATGATTTTCTGTTTTTTTTTTTTATCATGTTCTGTTGCCTATTAGCGTTTTCCTTTTTTAACAAATCGTACGGTGTCCTTGGGTGTCATGAAAGGCGCCTACAAATAAAATGTATTATTATTATAAGGTAAAGACATAGAAATTATTTTCCAAACTCACTGACAAACTGCGCCCCAGCTCAACCCTTCAGAGATGAAAGATGCCCTGAGGACTGCCCCCCCTCAGGTATACTGTGGACAGTTTGTTCAGGCACATGTTCCCACGATGCAACAGTTTCCTGATCAACAGGCGGGGGTGTCGTGCCAGCAGCTTTGGAAGACTGCAAGCCAGTGAAGGATTTTAAATACTATAAAATCAGTTCAGTTAACTCTTTCTTTTTCAGATCTACATCTGCACTTTGTTGAGACACACACACACCTCAAATTAAGATGGGAACCTTAACGTGCATCTTATTTTATCTCTTTTTATACCGACACACACTTTATTTAACCAGACCTGCTGGTCTCTATTGCAGCAAGTGGTTTGTTGTTTGTGATTTTGTAATAATTTAGTAAGAGTTTCATTTTATTGTTAATTCTGGTCTCACTTCAGTTTCTCTTGACTCTGGCCGGGACCCTTCACCCTGTCTGAAACCAGAGCTTCGTCTGCTCTGATTGGTTAGCTGGACAGCTCTGTTGTGATTGGTCAACCCACCAGAGATGTCCTGCCCTTCAGCCAATCACGTACAATGTAATGGAGCGCTGAGGGGCTTCAGGCGGGGGGACTGTGTGTGTGGGAGAGAAACTCCCTCTGGCCTTTGCAGTCCATGTACATGCACAGAAAGCTATTGAACACACAAGAGGAAAAGAAAAACCTTTCAAAAAGCTTGAACTACTCTGGGGTCTCTGAAATACTGTTCACAGGTTACCATGAGATAAAACCAAGGCACAGCCCTTCAATCTGGAAATGTATTTATTCTGCTGCTGGGTTTGTAAAGCAGAAGCGAAGCACAGCAAGCATTCACAGCAGGACCTACATTTACATTAGCAAGCCCCCCCCTCCCCGCTTCCCAGACAGGAGTTATATTCTCATGTTCCAGCATTGAACTGAATTTAGACCTAACCAAGTTAAAAGGCAAGCAAGCCAATAAAGCTCCTTTTTATCAAGGAAAACATTAAAAAGCCAAAACAGTGCGCGGTGTGAACATGGTCATGATTTCCACAAACAGAAACCTTTATATCTATTTAAAGATTATACAAATACTTCCAAGGAAAGAAAAACAACATAAAACCACATTTGGGGCGAACAAAGATCGCTATTGTCTTCTGGAGCGGAGCGCAGTGCCCCGCCTTTTTCTTCAGTGTAGCTTAGCATGGAGACAGAACACGAGCACAGCATCAAACATCACCTGCACAGAAACTCGTACTCTATAGAAAAACGTGTTGGCCAAAAGAATGCTTTACAACGTAACAACACAGTCCACCTCTGAATGCAGCTCTACAGATGAATGAAGCGTACATTTAGCATTGATAAACGCTGAGCTGATGCTTTGTTCCTACATCTCCACTTCAAATCAAAACGGACACAGATGAAATGTCAGCAGGTAAAAACTCAGGACTGGAAGGATCTAAACTAAAAACAGCACACAGGTTATGTGTGTGTGTGTGTGTGTGTGTGTGTGTGATACACTTCTGTAGCTTACAAAGGAAAACAGCAACACTGGGCCTCAGCCGGTACATACGACACGTTAGTACTTTTCTTAAATTAACAATAGAGAAGCTTAGAGACTATCATAATCTTTCTTGTCCTTTTTGCCCTCGCCCTCGAAGCTGTCCGTGCCCTCACTGTTGTCACGGCGACGCTTGCGGCTGTTGCGGACGTTGAAGCGGGGGTTAACCTGCGGCAGGGGGTCCATGCCCAAAACTTTATAGACCTGACGGAAAGCCAGGAGCCTCAGAGCAAACTGTGGGGAAGATAAAGCAGATTTCATATTTAAACTCATCTCCATTTCATGTGAAGCCTGACAGCCAATCAATCCCTCCTGCTTAAGACATATCAGCTGGATGGGGGGGGTCTGTACCTGGGCACTGGAGGTGATGTCCTCTCTCTGTTGCTCTCCCATAGTGGTGAGGGTGTCCACAGTCCTCTTCTCACACGGATCCGCCAGTCCTGGTCCACCTGTTGAAGTCATTACATTTAGTGGAGTTTCATGTATGACTTGGATGAAGATATGAGTCCAAGTCCATTTAGCAGTTCTGAATGCGTAAGATAATAAAGAATCTTACCAGGGAGTAAAATCCCAGAGGAAATACATTCAAAGACACGCCTCAGAGCGTCGCCCGGGCTGAGGGGGGCGGAGGCGCTGCTGATGGCCTTCTCTACCAGCAGCTCCATGGCCTGAACAGAGAACATGGCTTAGAGGACTGTATACACACAAGCACTATCACAACAGGTTCTATTTCACAGCCTCTTGCACTACATATCCATAACATGAAGCACGTGAAGCAGGCATCCTCCTCCGACAAACTGATGTGGAGAAAGGTGTTTGCCAGCAGTACGATGCTTATACCTCAACTCTGCAGCCATTGATCGTTAAGCTAGCCATTTATATGAAACTGAAATATGGGGACCAGCTGTGACGGAGGGGGTTCA